ATTGATTGATTGATTGATTGATTGATTGATTGATTGATTGATTGATTGATTGATTGATTGATTGATTGATTGATTGATTGATTGATTGATTGATTGATTGATTGATTGATTGATTGATTGATTGATTGATTGATTGATTGATTGATTGATTGATTGATTGATTGATTGATTGATTGATTGATTGATTGATTGATTGATTGATTGATTGATTGATTGATTGATTGATTGATTGATTGATTGATTGATTGATTGATTGATTGATTGATTGATTGATTGATTGATTGATTGATTGATTGATTGATTGATTGATTGATTGATTGATTGATTGATTGATTGATTGATTGATTGATTGATTGATTGATTGATTGATTGATTGATTGATTGATTGATTGATTGATTGATTGATTGATTGATTGATTGATTGATTGATTGATTGATTGATTGATTGATTGATTGATTGATTGATTGATTGATTGATTGATTGATTGATTGATTGATTGATTGATTGATTGATTGATTGATTGATTGATTGATTGATTGATTGATTGATTGATTGATTGATTGATTGATTGATTGATTGATTGATTGATTGATTGATTGATTGATTGATTGATTGATTGATAGGCTGGTTGGTTGATTGATTGAATATTAACATTACATAAACAACACAGGCTCTGAACCATCAGCCTCGTTTGTTGAATCTCAATGTGGAAAAAAGTGCCAATAATTAATTTGTATATAAATATAATTAGGCTGAAATATTTACGTTCATAAATTTAATTTTTGAATATATTTTTTATAATGGCCTGTTTTTAATTCACACAAATTGCAAAGGCAAAAACTGGGATACACGATAGAATCTGAAGCAGCATGTGGGTTGACGATGAGTAATGAATAATGATTAGGCGGATTCAAGTGAGCCTACAGCCTATGCTTGCCTATGCTTGCTTTCATTGACGTTTAAATTTTATATTTGGATATCATTATTCATTAGCAGCTCGTTTGCATATTTGATTAATATGTAAGATGTCAGTTAACCACTCCTACGCAACAACTCGATGCAAAAAATTGGAGCGTACAGTTTTATTGTTCAAAGATGGTTTAAAATATTAAAAAATAACTAAAACTGCTAAATTGCTTTAGTGTCAAATCGAATTCAAGTTATCCGACTTGGCTTGCATATGATGAACCAAAAAAAAAACATCCGCAGTGAAATCAAGGAATTGAAAGACAAAGCGTTTCAAGTAAATAAACTTTTGATGAAAAGTTCGCCTAACTTACTGTCAATCAATTATCAGCGTTCTACATAAGTTTATAAATGATTCCCAGAACAGCCTTATTCAAAATACAGCGAAAGATCATCTCATGTACATTTGTTGTGTTCGTATTGACGCATTGGTCTCTGTCGAAGGTTACCGCGTAACGTTGTTACGATAAGATAAGGGCTTGGAACTTTTAAAAGTTCATAATAAGCAAACATACAAATTTAAAATAATTTTTTTGAATTACTAATCTTAGGTCAAAATTACCATTCTACGTATTATAATGTTAATATATACTTAATTGATTTTATAGAGCAGAAGATAGGATGTTATATGTTAGTATTTAGTAGAAGTTTAAAAGGACGTCTTCAATGAAATGATGTTCTATTTATACACCAATGCTAAAGGATGTGCCTTTTTTCGTAACCAAAGAACCAAATGCTAATTGCTTATTTATTTATGTAATATTAACGAAACTTTTTTAATTGAATTCTCTTGCAAATATCTCATTATTTGTTCTAGAAGATGTGGAAATTTGTGTTAAGATGTTTGAGCGGAATATTAGTTAGTTGCATTATTTTGGCATTTATATATTTTTTGTTTTTAATTTGTCAGAGGTTCAGGGTATTTTATTTTTAATTTTAATAATTAATTATTTTAGTGAATTTTTAATTTAATAAATCATTTTCATTATTTTTTAAATAATTTATATATAAAGGATGTAAATAAACTTATTTCACGAAATGACTCAAAAATTTTCCAAGAAGAAATTTCAAATTCCTTACACTTGAAAAATAAAAAATAGGATAAATAAATAAACACTGAGTAGCAAACACACTGATTTATAAAATTATTCATTATATTATGTATTAATTATATACAATTAAGTGATCAATTATCATATAATAATTATATTATATAATATAATAGTTAATAAAAATTGTTAATAATATAATAATGTAATTATAATATATTAATTATAAAAATACAAATACAAATGAAATTAAATAACTCTATTTTACTACTACTGTTGCATTTGTATTATTACCTAACAGTAAAATATAAATATAAAATAGGGATTTTTGTCCATCAGCAAATCAGCAAGCCCTAGATATAAATATAACATAATTATTCACCAAAACCAATAATACAATTATAATAGTACAGTATTTATTTTTCTGGTTAACATTTATCATTTATGTATTTTGTATTGTATTGTCAAGTCTAGAGTTTTAGTAGGCTTGCTAATAACTTAAAACTTATTTAAACTGACAGGTTTAGATAATAACAGCCAAGCAGAAGACTTTTTCAACTGCTGGACTAACATGTCTCTTTTCAATCAGCTCTCATACTTTTATAACTTTTTATTTGTTGATCTCTCTGTTCTCTACTCACAGGTTTGTTACTTGTTACGTTTTAATATTATAATATAAATAAGTCGGTGTATGTACCCCTGTAAATTTAATTGTTTGAAACTTTAAAGTTTAATTACTAAAAAGGTTTAAAAAAAGTTTATTAACTAAATGGCAGTTTAATTAGTAACTCTTAACTAATATTTCCACAGTATGTTTCGAGCAGTCTAGCAATAGCATTTGCAACCATAATGTTGACATTCTTTTATCTTTATTTGAGAAAGAAGGCTGCAAGTAAGTGTTTGGTCATTTAGTTGTTAATTGGATGGTTATTTGGTTGGTTACAATTTCATTTTAGTTGGTTACTCATTTGATTGTATGATTATTTAAGTAATTTGATCATTTGATTGATTAATCATTTAATTCTTTGATCATTTGACTCAGTTGTTTTTTTAATGGTTTCAAACTTTCATGAAATTGATAATTTTTTCTAAATTCATAAATTGGACTTTGGTCTTTATTAAGTGATAGGTTTATTTATTTTAATATTGAATTAATGGTCAAATAAAAAGTTGTTTTCAAATTTTTTCATTTTCAAAGCATCACCACAAGTAGCAGCAAATTTTTCCAAACTGAGATTTAGAAAGAGAGAAAAGTTTCTTTTCTATGGGAGGAAAATGCTGAGGAGGGTAAGTTAGACTTAATTCTTCCAGGTGGTGTAAATAAATTGATACAGGCTCTAATCATTGATAGGTTATTAAACTTTTTTTTATGTAGGTTAAGCTTTTCGCTAAACCAATTCAAATGGATATGGCGAAAGAAACTGGCAGAAGAATGAAAGATACTAAAAAGAAAAGAATTAAAACTGTTCTCAACCTAGCTAAAAGGTTTCTGATCATATCTAAAGAAATGTCTTTACATTTTGACTAAATTAAAATTAGTTCTGGCAATCTATTTCACTGTCCAAATTTTTTATTTTTTTGGTTCTTGCTTAGGTGTAAAAGCTATCTTAATATATTTTTAGGTTTCTGCATTTCAAACATGAGAAAGAGATGGAATGGAAAGCCCGTGAAGACCATCCCTCCCTCTTGGAGGTCGATTGCCAGGAGCATGAACAACAACACCAACTGCCCCCTGAACTCATGTACATGCTCAGAAACGTCAGGTAGTATTGATGAGTAATGTTATTACTTACGATAGTAATTTAAATTAGACAATGCTCAACACAGTTGTTACGTAATTTCGAACCTTCTTTACATTCACAACCATTCAGATAACTCGCATTCATATAATAGACACATTATTATTAATATAAAACACGCATGCAGAGTTCTCGGGCACTTTGAGAAGCCCATCTTCCTTGAGTTGTGTCGCTTCATTGAAAGCATCAATGTGCCTGCCCACAACTACCTCTTCCAGATCGGAGACTTGGATGATTCCATCTTTGTCGTGCAGTCTGGGAAGATTGTTGTTCACGTTACAGAACAGGTTGGTTGTGCATTTTTGTACTGTTGTGTTGTTGTAGATATTGTTGTTTTTGTGTACTGTAGTTGCTGCTGTTGGGAATGTTGTAGTTCAGCTGTGTGTGAAAACGTTGTGGCTAATCAGTTAGTTCAGCAGTTGTATTATTATTTTAGTTTATTTTGTAATCATTAGCACAAATAGCTTTTTAATTATTTAAATTTTTAATTATTGTCGTTGCTGCCATTGTTTATTTATGATTATCATCATATTGGTGGCATAATGAGAGGATTATTCTGATATAACTGCGATGTGTAGAGTTGGGATTAATTTTTTGTGTACTATGTAAATTATCTTTAGGAGGTAATTGAGTAAACAAATAAATAAATTTAGTGGCATTCCGAAATGTGATTTTGTGTTATCATCACTGCCACTTATTAAATAGATAGATGATGGTGGTTGTCCAGTTGTTGCATTGAACTGGACAAGCACCATCATCCGGCTGTTGTGTGAATAGAGTTTTGCAAGTTGATATTTGTTGATTGTTTGATTGATTTTGTTCTTCAACCATTTTCATGTTTTTATAACAGTATTCAATCAATCAATCTATCAATCATTTACTATTCATTATTGATCAATTAATATCTAAAACATCAACATGCATTCACTTGATTATTATTTTACTTAATTTATTGAGAAACAACCAATCAACGACAACCAATCAAAAATTATCTACCAATCATAAATTACCAGCCAACCAACTAACAAACCAATTACAATTTTGCAATTATATCTCAACGTAAATTAAATAATAAATTATCAACCAGACAACTAAATGTCAATCAACAACTGATCCAATTTTATTCAATGCAACAACTGGACAACCAGCATCATCTATTAACAACTATTCAATCACCCACCGTCAATCACAATCACCAACCAATTGCCAACCAACCAATCATCAACCAGCCAATCGCCAACCAACCAATCATCAACCAACCAGCCAATCACCAACCAACCAATCATCAACCAACCAACTAATCACCAACCAACCAACCAATCACCAACCAATCACCAACCAACCAATTAAACAGGATGGCAAGGAGTACTACATTAAGGAGGTGAACCAGGGCGAAAGTGTTCACAGTCTGTTAAGTGTCATGGATGTTCTCACTGTATGTTCATCTGTTCATTTGTTCATTTGTGCATTTGTCATTTGTATTTACTTATACCTATTCTTTCATTGTAGTTTAGATTAAATTTTTTTTATAATTTTTTTAATAACCTCAAAATGTCTACATTTATTTATTATGATAACTTATTTTATTTTATTTTTTGACCTCAATACATGGATAAACAAATCGTGCTTGCTAGTTACTCAATACAGAACGTTCATTTGTATTCTTTCTTCGCCTTTTTTATTTTCTCCCTTTTAGAGGATAACGATTGTTATCTAGGCCTTTATATCTTTTATTATATGTTACATTAACATTCTATTTTAATATGTCATATTTGATGATATATATACATAACTGACAATATAAATGGAAAGGATCAGCATCTATTCAAGTTTAGCAAATGAGTAATAATTAAAAATGTACATGTTGGTGTATTCTCGCACATATATATTCACACATACATACATATTTATATATATAATTTAAGCTTTATACATACACAGTGTGTATGTATAAAGCTTAAATTTATATATTGTATATATATTATATATTGTGTATTTATATATTATATTATTATGTGAATTATA